AAAAAAATAGATATAAAAAATAATGAAAATGAGAAAAATAACTAAAATCATACAAAATTAATCAAATAAATAATGTAATCAATAGAAATTAAACAGAAACTGGTAAGAAATAAAATAAATATATATGGAGTCGTGGGTTTAACATTTTACACACTATACGGAGTCTTAATGTACTACTTATTTTTTAAAAGAACAAGCCGTCCGGTAAAGTTGGAATTATTGTAGATAATTTTTTCTAAAAAATAAGAAGTGATATGTTAATGCTTTGTATAATGCCTAAAATATTGAACCCACCCGTATATTTTTATTTTACTTTTTCCAATTTTAAGTTAGTTTCCATTGATTACCTTATTTAATTTATTATTTTTGTATCATTTTAGTTACATTTCTCATTTTTTCATTTTTTAAAACTATTGTTTTTATTTTTTAAACTAAGACTAATCTTTAAAAAATGAAAAAGAAATGATGGTGGAGGTAGAAAGTAGTTTAAAAAATTTAAATGAAAATTTCAAAAAAAATTAAAAAACAAAAATTCATCAAAAATAATCCCAACTTTCATTTTGTTGTCTAAAACGAACATTTCCGTTATTCCTCCGTTAGAAACTTAACGGCGACCCAAAACTGGCAAATTTCAGTAAAGTTGGGATTATTATGCATCACAGTAAAAGGTGGGATTATTTTTGAAAGATCGAGTAAAGTTGGGATTATTTTGGGTAATTTTTCCTTAAAATAATGTGTTTGCAAAATGAGACGATTGGAAGGGTACCAAAACCCAGTAATAATAATGATAAAATATTTGAAGGTCCGTACTCTGACAACGATCACTGAAGGATGGTGGCACATGCCCCCTGTCAACACAGGCCTTACTCAACGCTCCAGATCTCCCCGTACGGTTCCATTCAACGGCTCGGATTCATCTTTCCAAAAACCCCCCCTTCTCTGATAGACCACGGTCCAAGAAAGGGAAGAATAAAGTAAAGAAAAGAATAAGCCATTACTACACACACTACACTTCACTACCTCTGCTACCCCCCCTCCCCTCCCCCCCTCCCCTTTCATTGGACATCTCTCTCTCTACTGCTCTCAGGTCGAGCTTGGTCGGGTGGGCTATAAAGCATTAAACCCAACTCTCCCTTTCCTGTCTCTCTCTCTCTCTCTCTCTCTTCAAAAGCTTTCGTCAGAGGAACAGCGATGGATGGCGCACGGATAAGCTAGCTCTGAGTTTCAGCAGCAGAGCTGAGACCCAGTTCAGTCATCGTTATTCCAAGAAAAAAGCCCGGGCCTTTCTCTCCAAGAATCGCCGATTTCATCCTGTTTTCATGGAGGTTTTGGAGAGGGAATTGAGATTGAGCTAGCTCAATCCGCCTTGGTGTTGGGTTTGGGCCTTTTCTTTCGTTTCTTGATTCTGAGCTGAGATTGAGCTTCTTCCTTTTTTTTGAAGTTGATGCATTCGAGATTTGGGGTTGGATTGAGGGCCTGGATGAACCGGGGGTGGGCTGGCATGAGGTTTGGGGTGATGAATCTGGTTTGGGAGTTTAGGGTTTGCCGAGCTGGTGCTGTTCTTGGTTAAAGCTGAGCACTTTGTATGGCTTAATTGTGTGGATAATCGCAATTAAGGGTTTAATTACACTGCGTATCCTACATATATACTTATATAAATAATTGAAGGGTGGAGGAGAAATAATGAAGCTTTCAACATCAGGAATGGGTCAGCAGCCTCATGAGGGTATCCCTTCACACATTTTCTTGATTTTTCTCCTTGTATTATAATTTTTCTTTTTCTTTTGTGCTTAGCCTTTTCTTTTGATGTATCACTGTCAGTGTCTTTCTCCTTGTCCTTTTGTCTTCCTTAAAAACAATTGGGTCATTATGCTGTTTTTTTAAAGAAAAAAATAGTATTAAATGTTACTTGAATGTGATTGTGGATTTAATTTAGATATATCCTTGATAATCATACCCATAAATAGAAATTAAGATATTCTGTTTAATATCTGTGGGTGTTCTTGGATTTTGAAAGGAGAGAAGAAGTGTTTGAATTCAGAGCTGTGGCATGCTTGTGCTGGTCCTCTGGTGTGCCTTCCAACAGTCGGGAGCCGAGTTGTTTACTTTCCCCAGGGTCATAGTGAGCAGGTCTCTTCTCTTGTCTTTCTTTTTCACATTCATTTTAGTTCATGGTGACAATGGTTTGAGCGTATTGGTTCTGAATCGATTTCCAGGTAGCCGCTACGACTAATAAAGAAGTGGATGGCCAAATTCCCAATTATCCAAACTTGCCGGCCCAGTTGATCTGTCAGCTCCACAATGTCACAATGCATGTCCGTTTTAATGAACTTTCGTTTCATTGTGGATTACTCCTTTGAAGTGGTTAACAGTAATGGTAAGTTTTTTATATGTGGGATTTCAGGCAGATGTTGAAACTGATGAAGTGTATGCTCAAATGACATTGCAACCCCTGACTGCGGTACTCCCTCCCAAATCGTCGTATAAACTTACCCACGGATAAACCTTTTGATAGATTTTGATAGCTAAAATCTTTCTCTGTTTGTGTGATTAGGAAGAGCAAAAAGATACTTATCTTCCCGTTGAGTTGGGAATTCCCAGCAAGCAGCCAACTAACTATTTTTGCAAGACACTCACAGCAAGTGACACTAGTACTCATGGTGGCTTCTCTGTTCCTCGTCGAGCTGCAGAGAAAGTTTTCCCTCCTCTGGTATTTACTGCACTCGTGCTCTGAGTGTTATTAATGGTTGGAATATCATCTTCTCATACTGTAATATCTTTCTTTTTCCCTATTTGTTCCTTCAGGATTTTTCACAGACGCCACCTTGCCAAGAACTCATTGCAAGGGATCTACATGATGTCGAATGGAAGTTCAGACATATTTTCCGAGGTATAACATGAACTCGTCATAAGTTTATTTCGATGGTAAAGATAGATTAGTAAACCATAGAGTCAAAATATTAAAATAATACAAGAGGAACCAAATGTGTTCCCCTACAACCATTTTTACTACAAACGTCACCAAAAAAAGATTCATGTTTTAAAACTGTCCCCACTATTTCAACAAAAGAAACAAGGTTCCAAACAAGTATGATAAAAGCAGAATGTTCCATTGGTATAATCCAGAATGCTGAATGCTGATCCATGGTTCCTTGACAGAATGTTCTTCTATTTCATGCATATTGCAGGGCAGCCCAAGCGACATCTTCTTACTACTGGCTGGAGTGTGTTTGTCAGTGCCAAAAGACTTGTTGCAGGAGATTCTGTTCTTTTCATCTGGTACTTTTTTTCTGAAAATTTGCTTGGTTTAAATCTTGGTATATGGGCATCTGAAAACGCTTCTGTTTCAGGAATGAGAAAAATCAACTGCTGCTGGGAATTCGCCGTGCAATCAGACCACAAACTGTAATGCCATCATCGGTCCTGTCAAGTGACAGTATGCACATTGGACTTCTAGCTGCTGCTGCTCATGCTGCAGCTACTAATAGTTGTTTCACTGTGTTTTTCAATCCACGGTAGCCAAAATCTACCTTATGTTATTTCTACATGTCGTTTATGGGAAATGTTTTCACTCTTTCTATTTCACATCCTCCTAATCATCTCAGTGCAAGCCCGTCTGAGTTTGTCATACCTCTTTCAAAGTACATTAAGGCTGTGTATCACACCCGTGTCTCTGTTGGGATGCGCTTTAGGATGCTTTTTGAAACAGAAGAATCAAGCGTCCGCAGGTATATATATAGGATTATTTCCCCTTATTCCAGTTTTATCCCTAAGTCGCTATTCTATGTATTTGCTCAGTCATAATCCTTCTAACTAAATGCTACCACAGTGACATTCTATGGTTTTTCTGTCGCATTCCTCTGACATATGGATGATTGCATTTTGTCCAGATACATGGGAACAATTACTGGCATCGGTGACTTGGATGGTGTTCGTTGGCCAAATTCTCACTGGAGGTCTGTTAAGGTAAACAAAAATCAGTGTGGTTTGTTACAGTTTCCGTTGGCAATCATAGTATTTTCGTAAAACTTTTATATGTTTAGCTGTTTTTTTTATGAATGTGTAGGTTGGTTGGGATGAGTCTACTGCCGGTGAAAGACAACCAAGGGTATCGTTATGGGAAATTGAACCGTTGACTACTTTTCCCATGTACACGTCCTTATTTCCCCTCAGGCTAAAAAGACCTTGGTATCCAGGACTCTCATCCTTCCAAGGTACAACAATCTTATAATTAATACAAATTCGTTACAAGTCGCTATCCTTTACCTCTTAACTGGGATGGATGTTGATCTTTTTGTCTTTTTATTAAAATTGCAGACAACAATAACAGTGAAGTCATGAATGGAATGTCGTGGCTAAGAGGGGAAATGGGAGAGCATGGAGGAGGACCACCACCACAATCACTGAATCTTCAGTCTTTTGGTATGGTTCCATGGATGCAACAGAGAGTAGATCCAGCTTTGCTTCGGAGCGACTTTAATCAGCAGTACCAAGCTATGCTTGCTGCTGGTTTGCAGACCATGGGAAATTCCGCAGATCCGTTCAAACAGCAACTAATGCAGTATCAACCTCCCATCCATTATATGCAAGCTTCGGGTAGCAATAACAATCCAATGTTTCAGCAGCAGCAGCAGCAGCAGTTAATCCAGCAGACCCAAATGCTATCTGAGAGCCTTCAAAGGCCTCCCCAACAGCAAACCAGCAGTAGTCAGTCCGAGGAACCAGTCAAACAACATGCTTATCATGACGCTTTCACTATGCAGAATATTCCCTCTTTTCCAAAGAATAACTTTGCAGATTCAAATGCAAAATTTGTGTCGCCGGTTTCTCCTTCAAGCATGCAGTCTATGTTGGGTTCCCTTTGTCCAGAAGGGAATACTAGCAATAATCTCTTGAATTTCAAAAGAATGGGTCAGTCTATGGTCAATGAGCAGCAGCAGCAGCAGCAACCCCAACAGTCATGGTTGCCGAAATATACCAACAACTCGGCTTCTAGTCAACAGCAGGTGACTTGTGGTGTAGATGCCCAAAACCAACAATCGTTTTTCGGCTCTAATATAGACTCTTCTGGACTTCTCCTTCCTACCACTTTGTCAAGCGTTACTACTTCAGGTGTTCATGCAGATATGTCATCTGTGCCAACAGGATATCCGAACTCCCCATATGGTTACATGCAAGACTCGTCTGAGCTGGTGTCCAGTGTGGGACAAGTTGACCAATCAACCCCTGCTCCTACATTTATCAAGGTAGCTAATCTTTATGACTCGTATTGATTTAAGAAACTGCCGTCTTGGCTAATTAAACTTCTCCGTAACTCATATAGCCAATAATATACTAATTCTTAAATCCAGGTCTACAAATCAGGATATGTTGGGAGGTCATTGGATATCACCCGAATCAGCAACTATCATGAGCTGAGGCAGGAATTGGCTCAGATGTTTGGAATAGAAGGGTTACTTGAAGACCCCCAAAGATCAGGCTGGCAGCTTGTATTTGTTGACAGGGAGAATGATGTTCTTCTCCTTGGAGACGACCCGTGGGAGTAAGTAGTTTACTTAATCCGTTTTTCATCCGTCTTGCTTAGGCTCTCTTTGGTTGCTTATTACTCTTATAAGCAGAATAAGTAGATTCCGACTTGCTTATTTAGCCGAAATGGTTTTACCATAGGGTCTTTCAAAAACAATCATTTCATCCATGTAACTCTTGCCAAACTGGCCCTTAGTCTCACAACTTATAGGCCACAACTATCCATGCTTCCTGACCGCAACACTTATCGTTTGACAAAATAGTTGTTACTTGATCAAAAACAGTCTCACTGTAAAGTGTAAACACAGGCATTTACAATGCTTTTGGGTCATAAACTACCAAGTAGGCTTTGTATTCGGGGCACATCATAGAAGTTTATAAGTTATAACAGCAATACCAAACAAATCCTTGGCTCAACTGTTTAAAATAGAAATATTTGCACTAAATAGCACTAAAACTTAAGTCATTTCTCTAAATAGCACTTAAACTGTTTTATTCCCTAAATAGCACTTAATAATGTCCAGAAGGAGAAATAATGTCAGTGATAGCGAATATTTACTTGAATAATGACTAATGGATAATGACTAAAAGTGCTACATTAGGAAAAAAACACATGATGCTATTTAGGAAAGTCATTATGTTTTAGTGCTATTTAAGTAAATTTCCTTTTAAAATATTGAATGGTCTTGTGACTGCAATTCTGAATGCTGATAAAATTTGTCAGGGCTTTTGTGAATAATGTCTGGTACATCAAAATCCTTTCGCCCGAGGACGTGCAGAAGCTGGGAAAGCAAGAAGCTGATTCCCTTAGTGGAAATTCAATGGAGAAGATGCATGGCAATGGCGGGGCTGATGGAAGAGATCACCTCTCCGGATTTCCTTCCCTAGGATCACTCGAGTATTGATTTGTAGTTTTTCCACTTTCGTCATCGATTTGGACTCGACGTGTTAAAACCACCTTTATTCCCATCTATCTAGACTCTATTTATTAGCTTTGTTCAGTGACTCAATCTGTCTCTTCCCCATGTGCATGGTGTAGTGATTTTGTAGGAGTTCAATGTTCTTTCTTTTACTGGGTTTCAGTTACCCAGGATCAGATTGGATCTTAGACAAGGTTATGTGGAACCATTGCAATTTCTAGCTATGTAATGTTTATTTTTTTTATTTTGAGAACGCTAGGTAAGTCTAGTTTTTTTTGGTAGCAATGCACATGAGTGTCTATCAGATCAGTTGCCTCTTTTAGTACTATTAAATTTATTACGGAGTATAATGTACTCGCTCTGTCCTAATTAAGTGTATTTATTATTCACAAAGTCAAGTTCTAATTATGTTCTTTACCCATTTTCGCTATCTATTTGATAAAAAATTATATGGTTTTGTCACATCTTGTTTTGTAAAAATTTTTACGTAAATTTTAAATTTAGAAATTTTATTTTTTTATTTTTATACTAAATTTTCAAACAAATTTAATACAAAATAATTTTAGTCAAACTTTGTATCGGGATGGATGAAGTAGCATGTGTATAGTTAATCTAGTGAAGCACAAAGACCATGTGTTCCAACAGAGTTTTGAAAAAAATGAGGGTGCAATTATTGGTTGGTGGTATTGTCCACTGAAAGGCATTAACATTAAATACAGCAATGCAATTATTGTCTTTGGTAAAACGATGGGCATAAATTAAATTGGATGTAAGGGAGGGGATATGATGAAGGGAAGGGAGATGGTCACCATTGGATGTGTGAACAAAGTCTAAGTCATGTGTAATAGGGAAGGTGTGGCCGTTACGTACAATAATAGTACTTGTATATGGATGAGGAGAGTGGAGCTATGAATAGTCATGTGTAACACGAGTGTTGGCACCGATGTTCAGATAATAATGTCCAAATTGATCGTGGATGCATGCATAGTACGAGGGCCACTGGTAAGAATTCCCACTATAGGGAGACCACGTGACGATCAACCGCGACCAAGTGACAATTAATTGCTGCTTCGGCCGTCCCGTGAGTTGTTGTCGGTGTGACTAGATAACGATCGACGACGGCCAGTTCTTCGACCGCAAGATCAACACAGTCGCGACCCTTCGAGAGAAGAATCAGCTAGGCTCAACTTGTGTTTCATCTCAAGAATAATTTTCTCTAATGTAAACCATCTGAAAAGCTGAGATCCAATATCGTGATACAATATAATTTGGTAATAATTGATCTTATTGAATAATAAAGAATACATTCCCATATATAGGAATTACATGAAAGATTTCTAATCCTAGTAGAATAGAAATTGTGATATTAATATAATAAGGAAACAATAAAGTAAAGAAGGTAAGAAATAATAATATTTGTTTCCTATTAGTATCAATATTGCAAAACAATGTATTGAACCACAATTTTCTCTTCTAAACATAAATTTTATTGTGCCTATTAATTTTCTTGTGCTAGTTCAGATACTAGTGATTTGGCAAAGGTTTGTTTTATATATCATGGGGAAAAATTTTAATTTATCAGAAAATATTTCACAGAAGATAACAACAATGGTGATTGGAGTTTTTTGATCCTGACAATATTTTTTCAAGTTTCTACCAATAATTTTTCTTCATTTTCAAATTTGTGAGTTGTATTTTATTTTTTCTTCTGCATAAATTTAGCTACACTATTCACTTTTCTTGAATCCCTTACCATTTTATATGGAATACTGTTTTTGATACGGGTTGAGTTTATGACAAAATAACCCAGAGTGCAGCGAAGATAACCAAATAAAAGCTAGGCAAGCAAGTCTGCTAGAAAGAATTTATATCACTGTCAAAAAATAGATTGTATATAGAGTGCTATATTATCTTCTTCGTCACATGCCCGCAATGAAGGAGATGACGCAGAGGGTATTACAACATCTACTAAGCAAAATCTTGTACCTATAAAAACGTAAGAATACCAAATATGTTTACAAAGTTCAGAGAAACTCTCCTATTTTACGGGACTCACGTCCGTGTAATTGTCCTCCACTAAATCCTTAAATGCAAGTTACACTGATACATAAAAACACGATGAGACACACTACTCGGATTTGTCATGACAAACCTTCTAATCTAGGATAGATCTGCTTCCGCTATCACATCTCCGCCAAGATCATAAGGAGACACGTGGTTGGCAGCCCTCTTTGTAAGCTTAGGTTCATCTTCTAGACATCACAATCTCCTTGATGTTGAAGATCTTCTTCTTGTGGATCACAACTTTTTTCGCACAATGATGACTCTAGGACGCAACGAGAATACTCTAGGTTAGTGTATATTTTGAGTATTTTCCTTTTCTATTTCTACAAGGAATCTCATGGATTTCTTGCATATATATATGGGTCTCTTTAATCCAATCCTATTGAAGTTGTCTTGAACACAACTCTTAGTCTTTATTTCCAAGAAAATTATATTAGGACTCCTTAGCACAACTTACCACTAAAGATAAATCTCACCTCTAATTCTAAATATTGTAGGTTTCTAATAACCTCACTCTCTTCCATCATTATTATTGCCTTTTTCATTTTTACAGCAGAGACATTAAAATGTTATGGACATAATGGCATAGTAATAAATAATGTCTATACAAAGGACATCACTGGAGGTGACTAAAGACATTCAGATTCCAAGGAAAATAGACAATAGAGCAGTTCGAATACTATGGACATTTTTGGTTTTTCATAGATAAATATATTTCAAGCTTTGTGGATAATGTCTATTCGGAAAAGGACATTATTGTTGTAGATGATGGGCGGTGGGGAACAATGGTGGTGGCGATGCGGTCGGAGAACAGATAGAGTAATGAATTAGGGTTTAAAACCTACAAGGACAAAACAACCTAAAAGAACTAATTTGGTACATTAGTGGTATTAATTATAATTATAAAATAATTATTAATTAATTAAATCCTAATTAGGGGAAAAACTTATAGTTCTATTTAGAGAAAATGATTATATTTTCGTCCTATTTGTATAAATTACTCAATTTATTATTCTATTAGATTTAAAAATAATTGTTCTAGTGTGTGATTCACATATCAAACATTTCATATTTTCCAACTTATTTTCATAAATAGTCTAATATTGTTGGACAATTAATCATAATCATAGGCCGTGTTTGGAAAATAGCTTTTCGGATAGCTTTTGACATATTTGACTGACTTTAGCTTTTTTGACTGAGTGACCCGCCAAAACCACCGTTTGGGTAATGACTTTTTTACTTGACATTTTAATCCGAAAAGCCAAAATCTGAAATGCCAAGGGAAGTAGCATTTGGACTTGGCTGTTAGAAAGTTTTTTTTAAAAAAATCATTTTTATTGAAAGATATTTTATAATATGTGTAAAAAATAAAAAATAAAATAAAAGTTAAAAAATTAAATGCTAAAAAAATAAAATTTAAAAATTTCAAAAAAATGAAATGAGAAAATAAAAAGTAAAAATCATTAAAAAGTTGTATATTAATAATTTCTTATGAATTAAATGAAAGTAAAAAAATGAAAAATATATATCGTGTGTGTGTGTGTATGCGTATATTTTACCAAACATTTTTAACGATTAACCAATTCATTCTGTTTGTCAAACCAACTAAATCAAACAGTCATTCATAACAGCTGACACGAATTGCCAACAGTCAACAGCTGACAGCCAACATCCAAACAAGGTCATTATTAAATATGGTATATTTTGTGGTTAGTCAGTTTTTATTTTTTGTTTCCTAGTTCTAATTGAATTGGGAGCTCTGGTTTCTTGTTTTATATAATTCTAAAATATATTTTTAAATAAACTGAATTATAAATATAATTCAATTAGCTTCATTATTGGCAACCAACGAACCACTCAAAGAGAATTATAATGGGGGGCTAGGAATAAATTTGGCAATCATATGAAATGACTATGAGTTTGTTGGACATGATATGCATGTACCTTACAACTAATTTAGTAGCATTGGTGAAGGAGTATATGTATGAGTGTCCCCCAACATTGAATTGGATTACTTTAAATTTTTAATCATATAATTTCAAACCTTAATTAGCTTCTCAATTTAGAAAGTTGGGTCATGCTACACTTACACCACAAATTATACCCCATTTGTACACCGCAGTTATACACAAATATTTTGATGGTTTACACTGACACAAGTATTTGTGCGTTAACAAAAATTTACACGGAAACAAAATGTTGGTGCATTAACAAAAATTAGTTTTACACCAACACAAAGTGTCGATGCAAACATGCGAGGTACAAAAGTTGGGGTACAAATAGCTTTATCCTAGAAAGTTATATGTACATGCATTAGTTGCGCTTGAAAAATCATAAATCTTTATAATAATTGCATTAGCATTTCATGCAAATTATACGGTAGAACTAGATGTATCGTACATCATGTCAATCTTGTAATTAAAAAATATATCAGATGTATCGTACATCAATATATTTATGGTACAACTAGATGTATCGTACATCAATATGTCAAATTTATTATCAGATGTAAAATTATACGGTACAACTAGATGTATTGTACATCAATATGTCAATCTTGTATTTTCGTGATGTTTTGCATGATAAAGTATTTATTTATTTCAGTTTTTAGTTAATTTATTTTTGTGTGAAGTTATATGCATTAAGTTTATGGTAGAAACTACTTCCCCATGCTTCGCATGTGCTTGTATAATCTTACATAAAATATATATCAATATATTTTATATTTCAATTTTTAAAAATGTGAAATTAAAAATAAATTAGAACATGTATTAAAGTCGATATGCTACACTGCACAATCAACATGCAAAACATATAAATACATTTTATACACGCGTGTACACATGAGAAAAAATATCATGATATTTCTTACGTAAAATATATCTATAAATTTTATCTTTCATTTTAAAAAATGTGAAATAAAAAATAAATTAATTCTTCATAGAGGTGGGCGTGGTCCGTGACGGTCTGTGATAATACTGGAACCTGTCACGGAAAATATATCAAAGAATTTTATATTTCATTTTTTAAAAAATTTGAAATTAAAATTAAATCCATGCTTCACACGGACACGTATATTCTTATGTAAAATATATGTATAAATTTTATATTTCATTTTCAAAAATGTGAAATTAAAAATAAATTTGAATATGTATTAAAGTCGCTATGCTACTATCGATATATAAAACATGTATATAGATTTTATACACATGCGCACACATGAAAAAAATTCTTTTGACCTCTCTCTAGACTTCTTATTTCGTAGATCTCTTAATATTTCTCG